TTTTTGCTAATCTCCATAAAAAAAAATAAAACAAATTCAAAACTTTAGCGAAATGGAGCCATACGATGCGCGTTATGATGATAATTATTATGCCATGCCGCCACCAGCGGTGGCAACGACAGGGGCAGCGGCTCATCCACACCCAGCACATCCATATACGCATCAAATGCAGCGCTCCCGATCCGCACCTCGTTATCCCAATGAGCGGCCGCCGCACACGCAAGATCCCAACTACTACAGCCACTACGGCACAGGCAGTCGTGGCTACAGAGGCCAGGAAATGCAATACTATGATGAGCATGGCATGGAGGTGGCGCCACCACCGCTGCCGCCGTACAAGAAGAAGAAATCGGTGCTGAAGAGTCCGCTCGCGGCGCTGAAAAATGCGCTTATCAAATCGACGCGACCACTGCGTCGTATGAATAGCATGGTGGAGCCGGAGCGCAAGCCGAAGGGCTTGCGACGCCAGCAATCGATGCTTGAACGCGGCGTCCAGCGGCCCTACTATCCGGATGAGTATCCCACCTACCCGGCTACTGGCTACGAAGAGCGGCCGCCGCTGCCGCCACCTGCGGATCCATATTACCGTGCGCCGCACTATCCCCAGCAGGAGTTGATGAACAGCACCTATCAGAATCTGGAGAGTGAAGATATCTATGGAAATATTGCGGGCACAGTACCACGGCAAATGGCACGGCCTCCACCAGCCACAGGATACGCCGGCTATGATCAGTACGATCTATATGCGAATCGCGCCTGCATCGATCTAGAGCGACGTCAAGCCGAGGCGGCTGTCAGCGGCCGCAGTGGAAGACGCATTGTGCGTCGACACAGCACCACAACGGCGGATCGTGGAGGTAATGGTGGTGCAGCCGCACCACCTGGCAGACGGCACATGCACCTGTCCCATGCCGCGAATGGCTATGAGCAGCAAGGACAGCCGCCGGACATTTATCAGACACGCCAGGGCGCTTATATGTTGCCCGACCAGCGGCGTGCACCCAACTCAGAGGTGATGACACGGCGGCGCTTCTATCCGGGCGCCGCCAATGAGCAGGGCGAGGAGGCCGAACCCATGTATCAGACGCGTCGCGAAATGCAGCGCGAAATGCAGCGCAATCATCTGTACCAGTCGAAGCGGGAAATGCAGGAGCGCATCATACAGGGCAAACGCGACATGGAACGCGAACTGAGCGCACAAAGCAGCAGTCAATCTGAGCGCAGCGACGACCGCTCCGAGCGCTCCAACTCCGATAGTAACTATCAGTCGCGGCGGGAGGGTACGCGCAGCCAGCTTCGCGAACAAATCTATCAGACGCGGCGCGAGGCACTGGACAGCATGGCGGAACCGATCTATGTAACCAAGCGAGACATGGGCCGGCCGGCGCCCATCTATGAGACGCGCGAGGAAAGCATCCTTCAATCACGTGAGAACGAAACCGATGAGAAGAAGGAGAAAGAGTGCAAAACAGAACAGGTGCAGGTGGAAATAAATGCACAGCCCGAGGATGCCCAGGACAGCACGCTGAGCCGCTCAGACCTGCAAAAGTCCTCCGACACTGTCGTTGAGAATACATTGGCCCCCGTCGTCGTCTGTCAAGCGCCGTTGGTGCAGGACGAGATCGATGCGGATGAGAATGAGGATGCGGATGCGGCTGAGAATGACCAGCCCAATGAGACTGACAGCAGCGCGGAGCCTGCGGAGCAACCCACAGCTATTGAACATAATCAGCACAATGTAGCTATGCTGGCCAGCGAGACGCAGAACATGTCGGATGATGTTTTTGAGGCCACCGATCAGGTTACCCCACTCCCCCATGCCACAGAGCCGATTTCCGCCTCGAAACAGCCGTTGTCGCCTCGCGCACTGCGCGCGCCCTTTCACATTTCCAATATACTGAAGCGCACAGCCCCGCCGCCGCCTAGTTCTTCGCTGATGGCCGACAGCTGCACCTCGATTGAGACACAGTACACATCGCAGGCCAGCCTGCCGGTGGGACCGCCCAATGCGACCAGCACACCTTTCAGCAGCAGCATGTCCCTGCCCATTGCTGGTCCAGTGCCGGCTAATGGTGCCGCCGCATTTCCCAGCCTGCCGCGAGAGCCAAGCACCACGCGCGGCTTTTTTGATGCCAGCGGTGGCACGCTGGCTGACAAACTGTGGCACGTCTCGCTCCAGATACCGCCGGGCGCCATTCCGGCTGGTGTGCGTCAGGAGATCTACTTTACCGTCAGCGATCCGCGCATGGGACAGGCCGTTGGCGGTCCGCCGCTCGACATGGAAAATGGTTGGTCTATCTAACTTTCTACACACACTCTCTCTTTCTCTTACTCTCGTATTGCTCGTATTGTGTTGTACCTCCACTACCGCCTATTGCAACCACAGCAACAATAGCAACAAAAGCAACAACAAAAACAATTAAAGTTACAAGCAACAATAATTATTACTAAAGCAAATTCACAAGTTTCTTTTTTTTACTTGAAATTTGCTTGCGATATTTTGAATGCAAATCATTTTAATTATTTAATCTATGTGTATATAGGTACAATGTATATAAAGATATTCCCCTAACGGAACTCAGTTTATTTTGAATATTCGCAGCTGTAAAATATGTTTAATGTTAAAAATATATTTTTAAAATTAATTTGATCGTTTTGTAAATAACTGCGCAAATTTTCTATATAATTGAGCTCTGGAAGGGGCAATTCTTTGATTTTTAATGTGCAATATTATATCGCTTTATATATTATATGTAGTTAGATCTAACTGTAGTTGGGATTTTATTATAATTCAGTTTAACATGCATGTTCTTAATTCTGCTTGATTTGTATTTACTAATTGGCGGAATGGAATTGAGGGAAATATTTAATATTACACTCATATTTTTAAACGCTTTAACTTATTACATTTTTAATTTCTTATATTTAAATATATATACATAGTTTCTTTCATTTCATTTACCGAAACAAAAACTTTTTTAGTAAACTAATATATTTGAACAGAATAAATATTTTTATTAAAATTAGGAAAATAAGTAGGCTGACTTTCGAGCTTGGCCGGCACAAAATCCAGAATTTTGTGTGTTTCCATTGAAGCACAATTGATCTCTTTTCTTCTAACATAGTCCGATGCTCCTCGAGAAATAATTGCATATGGGAGCACAGAATTTGCTTCGTTAGCTGTGAGGCCCAAATCTAAGATCCTAAAAACGAAAACCATTTATATCGTCTGAGCTTAAACATATGTTTGCCCATCTAAATATTGAGCATATTTTGCTACCCTGTTTGCGTAACTATATTTTAACATAGTTAATTGTTAGTTTTCATTAGAGGTATTATCTCTTAATAACGTTTTAAAAACACGATAATTATTTTCAACATATAGTTTCAATTATCTTTTACTGGCGAGAATTACGCCGCATGATATTTTGTATAACAATAATATATAATCAGATAATAGTTTCAATAGATGTATATATAAAATGTATATGCTCCAAAATATATAAATGAACTTATGTGAGCTTCCCTTTGGTACCTTTAAAAAAAAAACGTTCGTAGGCAACAATTATTATTTTGTATAACCCTATCAGCCACATCTATTCCTTTAAATGTTATGCTATATACTATATTTTTTCTATTACTTCACATGCCGTAACACACCAAACAACACCAAACTTGTATTATTTCGCTATTCCTAAAACAATTACACCCACCAACACAAGCATATACTTGCAACTAGCTATTATTATTTCTAAAATAAAAAACAATTGATAATTAATATATTATAATCTCCTAACCAGGTGAAACGATGCTATCGCCACTTGTCATGTGCGGGCCGCAGGGCCTTGAGTTTCTGGTGCCCGTTACACTCAATATACCCCATTGTGCCGGACGTACCGCATCACTGGGTCTGGCACTCAAGGCCACCGACAGTGAGAAGAACCTCCATACCGAATGGGACAACATTGATCTGCCCAGTAATGCGGCTGCCCACACAGTGTCCGTCAAGGTGGATCACTTCTAGGCCGTAGAGCACTACAGTTATATAGTTTTAGAACGTTACTTAGCCCCATATATCCCCGCCCCCAAACACACAATCCTCTCATAGAAGGAACTAATTAGATTCATATAAACAATTGTAAATAACATCATCAAATAACATATAAGCCACAATTCCACGACAACAGAAATAACAGAACTTAGATATTGATTATGAAAAAAAAGAGTTTATTTAATTGCATATTTTTGTTAATTGTGCCTTTAAGTGATCGATTTGCTTTTGAACCAAGTGTCGTATAAATTATATAAGCGAACGAGTTAAATTATCGAAGCGAAAGCAAAAAAAGGGAAATCTGTATAAAAAATCTGATAACAAGAAACTGTATATTTTAATGAAATTTATTTACCCTTATTGCTATGTATTTTACAACTTTTCATTAATTTAATCGAATTTTGATATTTCATTCTACGCAATTTGCAAATTGTTTTTATCTATGATCTATTTTATTGCATTGAAAATGTTCATCGTTTGCAAATGTATACAAAAGATATACATATATAAACCATATAGATGCATTAGACTTAGGCAGCGTCTATACAGCCAACAAAATTAATATATATACTTATATGTATTACATATATTTACTTTTTGTATGAGAAAAATATAAGCACTTAGAAAGCTTGGGTATTAATAAAGGAGCAACAAGAATATAACTATAAATAAAATGGACTAAATAATTTTCATACTTTGAAATCGTCAGCTTAATTGAATTCCCAGATGAATATTGATCGATTAGGGTGAACATCTTGAAGAACTTTTTATATCAAATATTTGTTTGTTTTATCAAGAGAATCAACAATAACCCCAATTGGTAAACAAAAAAGTAAACGAGACCAGTCCCAAACTTTTAAAACACGATTGTTGAAAATGTAGACAAATATACGAAATATATTTTAAATACATTTATAATGATAAATAGTAGCGATAGCCATATACGTATAATTTTTCACATATATATTTATGTATATTTATATTTATGTATAAGTGCACTGCTCGACAACGAAAGGTAACAAAAGCTAGCAAAAGCACTTTTAATCTTATAGATTACATCGAGTGTATGCTTCCAGAGATTGAATAATTAAGGATATAATTATATAACTAAACGTCAGAAAGCAATTTTAACAGTCTTGGGAGTCAGTGGGCTCCTACGTGGATGGCGCCGGTGTCGTCGGTGTTGAGGTGGTAACTGTTGCTAGTAACACCTCCTGCTCGGGTATAATGGACACAGCTTCCTTAACATAGCCGTAGATGTGTTTCCGCGTATCATTCACCACATCACGGACCATGGCCTGAAAGAAACTGCTGTGCAGCGGTGCTTCAGCATATCGTTCGTACTGATCCAGCGAGTCCTGCAGCTTTAATGTAAGGTCATAATTCTTGCGTACGACATCAAGTATTTGCTCCTCCGTCGGTGTCGACAGACCCTGCTCGGCCAGCCATTCCTTGATTTTGTTTTGAAAATGCTTCACAATGGCGAGTATGTTGACAAGAGCATTTAGTAGCTTGATAACATCGTCCTTATATTCGCATTCCGGCATAGTTGTGTAGCGCAAAACTAGAAAGAATATTATTAAATGGGGTTTTAAATAAATTTTCCTTCGTTCGCTTACCCATGGCATGTATTTCCGTAAATACTTTTTCCTCGCGATTCAGCTCATAATAGAGCTCATCATAGCTGTTTGTTGTGGCTAGGAATGTGTCGCCGTACGTAATGAAAAGATTGAAAATGTTGACCACCTGCAGCGACAAGTGAAATATATTGCACTTTTTTACTAGTGTCTGCTCCTGATTGACCAGGAAGCGCAATAGACCAATCAAAGCCGACCACAGCTCCTTCCAAGGATAATTGAGGCGAACGCGACATCGTTTCTGATAGCACAGAATGCGATGAATAACGCCAATACACAACAGATACAGCTCCATGGGAAATTTCTTCATTAAATGCGAAACAATGAACTCCACTAGCAAATCGAGCAATGTGGCCGCCAAAGGCTGCGACTTCCCCACACGATCCACATTGAGCTTGCGATGACGCATTTGGGCGCGATGCAACATCACCTTGAAAGTCAAATTACTGTCATGCATCATTGAGTTGGCATACTGATCCTCCGATATGCAGGTGAGTATCAGAAAGCACAGCTTCAAGTTGGCAATGCTGGACTCATTCTTGTTGTCCTGCATAACAATGGAGCTGTAGAAACACAAGAATTAACGTGAATCAATCGACAAGAATTGTCACAGATTTACCAATATTGAAAAACTGCTACGAGCAGATTTGTGGGATACTGTGTCATGTCTATGATGGGCGCATTGGCTAGATCAGGCACCGGCTGTGTTAGGCTCAATGTGTTGCTGGGCGATGGCGGTGCACTCGACTCTGCCTGTGGATGCGCCAGGGTCGTAATAAAATTGCGATTGAGATGCACTGCCTCATACAGGGCCAGCAATAGGCCATTGTTAGCCTTAATCTGCTGCACACGCTCGCAACCCTCGTCGGAAACGAACATGTTGCCCACCATGCTTGAGAGCGACGAGAACCACGAAGAGGATTGCACATTATTTAAGCTTTGCATATACTGGCGGCAAAAATCAATGAGTGACTGCGAGATCATTTGGCCATAGCTACAAAACCGATAAAGGCACATTATGAGACATTCCTTATCAAACGTGCTTGTCTAATTATCTATAATTATAATCAGTGATTCATATTACCCATTCAACGCTAGCTCGTCGGCCAGAATGGAGAGCTGCACCACATACGGATTGGTTGCCTCGTGCTTCCGATAGTTCACCAGAATGGTCAGCAGTATGACAATGTCGTGGCCATGCTGGGCACGAAATGTGGGATCGCTCAGCAGGCGGACAAAAGCATCGAACAGGCTGTGCATCATCAGGTATTCAAGGAGCACGTTCTGGCTGACATCCGTGCCTGTCACAAGCACCAGCAACAGTTTCAGGCACATGAAGCGCGCGTTTTCGGTGACATCGCCAAGCAGAATTCGGTTGCAATGCTGCATTAGCAACTTTAGCCACTCATCCATTGTCTCGTGGCCGAAGATCTCGTTCAGTATGTTTGAGCTGGCATCCGTGTTGCATTTCCTGAATATGCCATAGAAGAGCGAGCATAATGTCTGCAAGCTGTTGCACAGCCGCTTGGGGTGATCCTCTACGCGTGAAAGGAGGTTTAGATCTGTGTGCGGGTGTGTGTTAAGTATAAGGCGTCTTACCCCGTGATGTGTCCAGCATTTCTATACATTTTTGGAATAGTGTATTCAAGTTCGGTTTTACCACATGCAGCTGTTCGTTGTTTATTTTGCTGATTTGGTCCTCCAGGGACTCAAAGTTGGGTTGCAGCAGAAAGAACTCGTGCCAGAACTCGGGGCTATCCGCGCTGGGATCCTCCCCACGACACAGCAACTCGTATATGTAAACAACCTAAAAAACATCAAAATAATGCCCGAAATGACAGTCAAGCTAGGTGAATTGAGGTGCACTCCAAACCTTTTCCTTGGGGCGTTTTGTGGAACCACTGCCGCTCCGTTTTCGTGACGTCATGGTAGTCAACTTGTAAAACGGTTTGTGTTAATTAAACAAATTTGCTGGGCGTCTTTGAGAAATGGAAGACAGCCTTTTGTTGCTACTCTTGCTGGCAGTTTGACATCTGCACCGTCGCCTAATACACGTTCATGCCAACAAACGAGATATTTTAGTTGAATCGTGTACGCAATGTACATTGTTACACATTTACCAACACTGCTCAGCAGCTGTTGTGCAAATTTATTCCATTTTTTGAACTAGTTTTTTTGTTCAAGTTTTAGGGACACAGGCTAGTTTGCTTTTATAAAACGCTCGATCAAACTATAAATAATAGTTTTACAGCTCGTCATTGTAATAGTCCTATGTCCATCTCAATTATACGAAGCTAGACAGGTGCAGATCAGTTAACTTTTGGCGGAACAAACCAAAAAGATATTTTACTTTTGTCATTCTTAAGTTGCGTGAACTCAACAACAGAAGCACCAACAACAACAACTGGGACAAAAAAGAAGGTTAAAACATGTCCAGTCTGCCACGTCGCATTATTAAGGAGACGCAGCGCTTGATGCAGGAGCCGGTGCCCGGAATTAATGCAATTCCCGATGAAAACAATGCGCGCTATTTTCATGTAGTGGTCGCCGGTCCAAATGACTCGCCGTTTGAGGGCGGAGTCTTCAAGCTGGAGCTGTTTCTACCCGAGGACTATCCAATGTCGGCACCCAAGGTGCGTTTCATCACAAAAATATACCATCCGAATATAGATCGTCTTGGACGCATTTGTCTGGATGTGCTGAAGGATAAGTGGAGTCCGGCCCTGCAAATTCGCACCATTCTGTTGTCCATTCAGGCGCTGCTCAGTGCGCCCAATCCCGATGATCCACTAGCCAACGATGTGGCCGAGCTGTGGAAGGTCAATGAGGCCGAGGCCATACGCAATGCACGTGAATGGACCCAGAAATATGCTGTCGAAGACTGAAGCGTCACCCGCTGCGTGCTCTAATATCTCCTCACAAGGTGGGTGGGTGCCGCTAAAACGGGGTAACAGCCAATTTCTTGGATGGACATTCGTCCTTCGACCCACAAGCAAAGCAAACAACCAACAACAAAACCGATAAAAGATTAAACCATTTTTATAACACACAATTTTTTGTATATTTAAATAAGTCGATGTCGAGAATAAGGAGATGGAATAAAACATTGAAGATATAATTATAATGCTATAATAAACGAATAAAAACAAAATTCTATGTAAAACAATGCTTTGATATTTATTTATATTCCTTTTTCAATAAATTACTTGTTTAAATTATATTGAATAACTCTCGTATGTTCCCTTCAACTAATTTACATATTCGTAAATTGAACTTTTGTTTTCGAGACACGCGACCGCATGTCCCTATTTAAAGCAAAAGTAATATATTTGTAAACAAAAGAAGTCCCAAACAGAACAAAAGTATATGCTGGCGAGAAATCATTATATGTACATATGTATATCAAATGTCTTGCATACAAACAAATGTGTATATACATACATACATATAAAAGTAAGAACCAATGAACGAACAAAGCTTCTTTGTACCAGTTCAATTTGAAACGCTAGTTCCAGTCATTGAGCTGGTTCGATAAAAACTACGCAGTATCCAGTGTGTTTAATTTCGACTCTTCTCGTGCTTCTATTTCACAACCATTTAATTTTAAATCAGTTGACTTGAAGCAAGAACATTTTCGAAATAAATATGTCTTTTATCCAAAAATCATCTCGACTTCTACAAGTCCAGCTGCGTCGAGTTCAGAGCGTACCAGTGGCACTATACCATGAAAATGTATGTATTAAACTAAAGATTTCGACTCACGCAAATTTCTTTCGTAACATATTTTATACTAAATAATTTACATGTTTTGTCTGTTTTTATTGTACTGTACAACCTTTAGTTCTTGGCACGCTCTAAGAAAACAATTACGTGTTAATAATTGACTTTTTCTTTCAGGTAGTCGAGCACTACGAGAATCCCCGCAACGTGGGTTCGCTGGACAAGAAGGATGTCAGCGTTGGAACCGGCCTGGTTGGCGCACCAGCTTGCGGAGACGTTATGAAATTGCAAATCAAAGTGGACGAGAATGGCAAAATCATTGATGCCAAGTTTAAAACATTTGGCTGCGGCTCAGCCATCGCCAGCAGCTCCTTGGCCACGGAGTGGGTTAAGGGCAAATCTATTGATGAGGCAGGTAAATTGAGGAACACGGACATTGCCAAGGAACTGCGTCTGCCGCCCGTCAAGCTGCATTGCTCCATGCTCGCCGAGGATGCGATTAAAGCTGCCCTAGCCGACTATAAGGTCAAGCAGCAAAAGAAGGAGGCGAATTAAAGCCACATACATAAATACTCCAGTTAAATACAAACAAACAAACATGATAACAGCTTTAAGTTATCAATATTAGAAAACAACAATATACTTACATATATTATTTGCATTGGATTTTACAGTATATAAATGTGTGAGTAGTAGTATAAGTTACTATAAAACATACATATATTTTAAGGCTCTTCTCTTTTACAGATAGACACCGTGTGATTTCTTGACTGTGCAGTAAGTGTGTGCGTGGAATACAAACCATGGGAAATAGCTGGAACAGAACTTATCTAAGCCATGTGTGAATGTTAATGCGAAGATGTGTGTTTTTAAGGGCTAGCTAACTATTAGTTACCCTTTTTGTGAAAAGGCAATATGTTGTGTGCAAGCCATTTAAATTTTTAGTTATGCAAATTTGAGCCTGTAGAATGTACATGTATATGAATAATCAATAAACTGTTAACAAATCTAAATATATATAAACAGTTTTATTGCTTGTGCCATAAGACTTTAAATATTGATTATTTCAGTTGTGGAGGTTCGCAATTATTCGCAATTTTTATGATAGACGCACGCTGACGCCGCCGCCACATTCGCCCTTTGACTTGACCTCAAATGCTGCAAGTGAAAATGACATTTAATGCCAATTGAAGATTGATCAAAATAAACTTACGATCGTCGGCGTGTTGGCAGTTGTAATTGGCCATGACGCACGGGCTTCCGAACGTCAAGAGGCGCTCCTTGCTGCTGTTCTTAGTCCTGGCGCACACGGGCTCGTAGTCGTCGCCGCAAGCGCGTGCGCAGCTGTTTGCCGGCTTTTTCGAGTCCTTGGCTGGACTGGCAAGGACAAGCGCCAACAGACACAGCCCTAATCAGTGAAAACAAGCAAATTAAGTGCTATAAAAAGAGCATTTTCTTATTCACCGTGATAACCTAACGCTTTTTAAGTTTTGGACTTACTCGCCATATAAATTAATTTGTATATACTACCCAAATTATTTTAACGTTATCTCAAAAGATGTTGGAGGGGTCAGTTTCCCGTACAAGCTACAGGCTACTCTTTGAGCCATACATGAGAAGTTATAGATTGTATTTGCTTAAAGGTTTGGTTATCATATAAATAAAACAATATCTGTATGTAATAAATATTTGCAGAAGCCAGTTTGATATTGGGAACTAAAAATCTATATATTTGTATATATACATAGGTATATCAGTAGAGATCTTGATATAAGGCCCTAAAACATATGACTATAACTTAAGTTTAATTTGTATTAGGAGGGAACTCCACATCCAGCTTTGCGTTACCCCACAATGCAAATATCATTGTAGTAGAATTTTGTTTTTATTTCATTGCGTTTTGCAGCTCCGCTAATCTACTATAACTTACCCAGAATGGTTAACAGAGCAAAACGCATTTTAATATTCCAGAAGGTCTCGAGCAAAAAACGAAAACCGGCTTTGAGTCGAGTTGGAATTGAACTGAATTTCAGACTGTGAGATTTATCACATTTATATACAAGTCCAGCTCAGAGCGTAGCTGATGACAATAGCCGGTGGCACACAGACTCACGTGTATATGTATGCATGTGTATGTACGTACCGATAGACATAAGTATATATGTATGCATGTATGATATAGTCTATATTGTGCCGACGGGAATCACTGATCCCACACTTAAATTACTGTGTATTCAAAAGTAGACAAGCTTGAAGTGCATTCATCTGTATTGGTAGGTAAAGATGGCAATGACGGGGACACGACAGCGACCGGGTCGCGTAGACACGGGTCTCGAAATGGACGGCACTTGAGGGACACGCGTCGGGTGGTGTCATTTAGCCTATAACGGTTTAAGTGACATTTGCCCCCACTCTATGTGGGCGATTTGTATGTATTTATTATTAAATTAGCGACTTTGGTAAAATGCGGAACGGCGTTTAATTAAAATGTTATGTAATTGTTGATAGAGTATAAATAGTTTGGTTTTCAATTTTTTGTGCTTTAAATAAAACATAATTAAAAGATTTAAAAACAATCTCCTAAATAGAGAACCCAGGGAAAATAAAAGATAAAATAAAACTAAAAATATGCTTTACTTTTCTAAGCACCTGGGCCATTCCAAACCAAAATCACAGTCTCCTGAAGCGTTACACTTCTGGCTCAATCCAATTTACGCACATTTGCATGCCTCTCGCGTGAAATGAACGGGACTATGCCCCCAAATCCAGTTCATGTGATGCTTCAACGTTCTACAAGTAAGAGTTTTCATCCGCTGGAATTTAATGGACTTGTTTATCCAAAAAACAGTGACTGCCATTAAGATCAGTTTTAATTCAGTGATGTCATGCCAGTCATTAAACCTTATAACGACAATATGAGTTAATTTGTTGAACATAATGTATAAAGTGCATGGCTTCCTTGTTTTAATTGCTGTTTTATATATGCATGCATGTACCAAATATATGGTTATGTAAGTACTCATTAAGGTGACTAAGAAAATAATGCGTTAAAGTTGTAAAAAGAAGAAAAGAAGAATAATCAAATACATGCGCAGAAAGGATAAAACAAATAAACTTAACTTAAATAGATCGAATATTTAAGATAAAAGAATAAACATATGAAAAGTAACTATAAAATAGTTTCAAGAGAAACCCAAAGAAACCTGAAAATCAAGCTATCGTTGTTAAATATCGATATAAATATGTTTGGTATATCGACATCGCGATGTGTTGACACATCACTAGATTTCTTAAACACGATGCGTCATTTTTCGCTCTAAACGTTTGCAATTTCACAATAGAAAAGAAAGTATATTTCGTTGAATGTTATTTTTAGATATAATTAAATAAAAGGTAAAGTACAAGACAAGGATCCATCGTGAAATAGAGCACATAATAGTTAACATTTTACCTGCTTGCAAAACTCAAAATAATGGAGGAAATAAAGAAATTGGTCGCACAATACCAATGTAATGCGTCTGTTGATGTAAGCAGCTCCGATAGCGACAGTGACTCTTACATATCGACTGGACGACCAGCACACAGAAAATCTGTCAATGAAGCTGAAGGGGAGAGCGGCAAACGTAAAACCGGAACAGCTCGGCTGCCGACAAGACGTCCAGATCCCAATGTATACAACAGAAATGCGTTGCTTGCGCGCGAAAATCGCCGTAAAAAGAAGGCGTACATGGAGGCAGTCGAAAAGGAGCTTGACGAAACTCGCTGCACCAACAGATCGTTGCTAAAAGCTCTTAAGAAACAGTTCAAATTAACACAAAAGCTCGAAAAAGAGTGTCAATATCTGAAGGACGTATTGGGCAATTGCAAAAATAACAAAAATGTTACCACAGTACTAAATGTGGACATTTCATCGCCGGATAACCGGGCTGCTTCACCTGATGGCTCCCTTATATCAACTTATTCAAGCAGCAGCTATGAGCTGCCCATGGAGACGAACTCCTTTCCAGGCGTGCTGAACGACGACAATGGTAGTGTAGCCGCAGAACAATATATAAATGAGCCGCCATCAAGTTCATGGAATGATTTTATCGATGATTTATTAACAGATTATCAGCATCAGCCTGCGCCCGCGTACGAGGATGAGGGCTGCGCCCGATTTCTGGAGGAAAACAGCTTTGGCCTACCAGAATGCCAGCCACCGCTGAAACCACTGACAATTGTTGATGAGCATAGCTATTTCAATAAATTTTCGGAAATTGGTTTTATTCCAAGCTGCGAATGGAGCCCCAGTCGCACTCCGCCCAAGCAGTTGCTTCAAGATGACAAGTTTTTGGTCAACACAGACAGCGGATGCATTGCAAGTCTATAGATTTATTAATTTTTTTAAGTATTTTGTTAAGGAGTTTTAAGCATTCTAAGATTAAGCTATTCGGGCGCGTTCTTTTTGTGAATCGATATAATTCTTTCCATTATGACAATTTTAAAATTTGACCAGCTTAGCCCGTGGAGCTTATGATAGAACACCAGCCCACTGAACCGGTCCTTTGGCTTCGATGTTGGATAATTTTTCATCCAGCACGCGAATTAAAAATTTAAAGGTGGGTTTCCTAAACCAGATCCAAGCTGCAAAAATACCAAATGAGACTATGATCTATATTTTTGTGCCACTTTTTCAGTTGCGGCCAGAATTTAGGACGAATCTCGATATCTAACGGATTTCCATGTTATATTGGAAGGAGATGAGATACAGGCGTCGAGTGTATTTACTGCAAAATACCGACTTTTTTTTAAATTCATTTTTGAAGAGTAAAAACCTTACTAATTTATTTGGATTCTGACATGTTTCAGATGTGTTAATCACACAATCGATGTATACTCTTACATTGAATTTAGTGGACAGTGAGGCTTGAAACACCGGTATGTACTTCTATCATAACTCCTGAAAAGGCACCTCGTATTACTTGAATTATTATTTGTTGATTTTGGAAAGAATAATCGATACAATTTCATTAATATGCATTTGTTATTGAGCCCAAATAAAACTACAACTACACAATATTTATGATTAATATATTGTTTTAATATTATTTTGTTAAGTTACTGGGGTCAGAGTATACGAAAAATACGTTTTGTCTTAAACTTTACCCTGCAAGGATGTTACACATGCTTGCAAAAATAAAATATTAGTTTGTAAATAAATAGACAAGTGCAAATAAGCAAAAGTGCAGTTGTATATACAGAGTTTATTCGTCAACATAACTTTTACAAACAAAACTCGAACATCTTAGTTTTCCCTTATGCCTTTAACAACTTGGCATGGTATTCAATATGCTCGGCTACAAAGGTTGCTATATAGAAGTAGCTGTGGTCATATCCCTCGCGTTGCTTGAATATGGTTTGGATGTGGTCGTTGGTGGCAGCTGCAGCAAGCAGTTTTTCTGGCAGCAGTTGTTTGCCAATAAGAAAGTTATCAGCTGATCCTTGATCTATGAATAGTTCCTGCGGTGTGCTGACATACTTTGAGACTAGGCTGGTGGCATCCCACAGCTGCCAGTTCTCTGTGTTTGGACCCAAGTAACCGGTAAATGCCTTCTGGCCCCATGGGCATTCCGATGGGTTCGAAATTGGTGCAAATGCAGAGACTGATTGGTACAGACCGGGATTTTTCAAGGCACAAATCAATGCGCCATGTCCGCCCATGCTGTGACCAAAAATGCCCTTTTTGCCAGGCAACGTCGGGAAATTCTCGTTGACTACTTCAGGCAACTCCTGCGTAACATAACTGTACATTTTGTAGTGTTTTGACCAGGGTGCTTCAGTAGCGTCTACATAAAAGCCGGCGCCACTGCCAAAGTCATAAGCATCATCCTGGCCGGGCAGGTCTACTCCACGTGGCGAAGTGTCAGGATTAACCACTATAAGGCCCTGCTTAGCTGCAGTCCCTTGGAATCCACTCTTCTGTACAAAGTTCTCGTGCGTGCAGGTCAAGCCGCTCAAAAAGTATAACACCGGGCATTGGGTTTTATCTTCAACTGCCGCAGGTGGCAAGAAGACGCCAAAGGTCATATCGCAATCCAATATGTTAGAGTGATGTTTATAGACACGTTGCTCGCCCTCGAAGCATTTTGTGGTCGACACCAGTTCCAGCTTCATGTTCTAAAATTTACAAACTATAGTATCTATACAATAAGTGAAGCAAAATATTTACTTATGTAGATTTTGTTTTAATAAGAATTTTCTTCGTGAAAGGAATCAGTATGAATATTTTTATACCGGTACCAGGGCTCATTACTGGTTCCATACTAAGTTCAGCCCTGAAATAAGGTTTTGAGTCGTAGCTGTGTTGTAAAATACTCCGTTTGCGAATATGTGCAACACTAAACAGTAGCAAAACGCACGATAAGTAAATAAACCGGCATCACTTTTAGTAAATAAGTAATACAATGTCTGAAGAGGCGCCAAGTACTTCTACATTTGGCTTCAAGAAGCGTAATTTCAACAAAGGTTCGGGTATGCGGCGGAAGAAAGTCAGCAGCACCAGCAGCAATGATTCGGGTAAGTCGAAAATTGGCGCAAAAAGCAATGATAAAACGCAGTTCTATATTATAAATAACCACAGCAAAAAATAGCGACGAGGAGCTGCAAAGTAAAACAAGTGCCTTAGTTCGTGCTGAAAATCGTCGAAAGCGTACTAATCCAAACTTCCAGAGCACTAAATCGTTATCTAAACGTAAGGCGGAAATAGGCTCCAGATTCGACTCATCAGGCAGCGACGCTGACTCGGCGGGGGTTAGCAATGCCGTGGGTGTGGCTTATAAATCGAAGCGCGAAGCTATTTCTAGTGGACCTCAGGATCAGGGCGCCACTGCCGTTAATGAAATGGATACGGAACTGGATCGCGATGCCCAGGCGATACACGCGCGCTCACTTAAAATCAATGAAGAACTCGAGGGAAAAGCGGACGATAAGATCTATCGAGGCATTAATAATTATGCGCAATATTACAAAAAGAAGGACACAGCGGCGGGCAATGCTAGCTCGGGCATGGTGCGCAGTGGGCCCATACGGGCCCCGGCGCATCTACGTGCGACTGTACGTTGGGATTATCAGCCAGATATCTGTAAAGATTTTAAAGAGACAGGCTACTGCGGCTTTGGTGATAGTTGCAAGTTTTTACATGATCGCAGCGACTATAAAGCCGGCTGGCAGCTAGAAATGGATCACGAGGCGCAACGGCGCGGAGATTGTGACTCGGATGGGGATGAGCATAAATATGAGATCCACTCGGACGAGGAATCCCTGCCATTCAAGTGTCACATATGCAGGCAAAGCTTTGTTAATCCTGTGGTCACCAAGTTAGTTGTCTTAATATACAGCTTATTAAAATATACTGACAAATCTATAAACACATTTCAGGTGCAAGCATTACTTCTGCGAGAAGTGTGCGCTGGCCCAGTACAAGAAGTCGCAGCGTTGCATAATTTGTTCACAGCAAACCAATGGCATTTTTAATCCTGCCAAGGAGTTGATAGCTCGCCTGAAAACAGCACCCACGGACGAGCTAGATGATGATGATGATGACGATGACAACAATGAGAACGGTCATCATGACAAAAATATAGAGCAAGCGTTGCCAGTTTCCTCCAATAGCGAAAGTGAATAAGTAAGCCAGGTTTTTTAGGCTGGGTACTGCGCCTTTAAAAATGTGCTCTTAAAAGTGGTCAATTTAAAAATAAAAATTTTATTTTTGTAGACTAGTGAATTCATTATTTTCGCTTAGTAGCTGCTAAACCATACAAGCTTTATTCAAAACACAAACTGTTATAAAATAAAGAAGTTAACTATCTTTATATGTATATAAAACTGTTTGTCTGAACGGACTGATCAACGCACAGCCTAGGAAGCTGAATTTTCACTGTAGTTACCTTATATGATAGACGTGCACGCTAACATGTAAATGTGTGTAAGGCCGATCGGATGGTAAACAAAAAAAAATTTATACAAATGAAAATTAAAACGACAGTGAAAATTTCAGCTTTAGTTAATCCGTAGAGTCGAATACGAAACCTAGTTCGTCTTCGTTGCTTGCAATACCAAATAAAATGAGAAATCAAACGAGCACAACAAACTGAGACGAGTAGCTATTTACTCTTTCTTTCTGTGAGAATTAATATTTTCGCTGTTCTGAACATAATTGATACTCTTTTGTCAGTGTGCCTTGTAATTTGAGTTCGCTGAGCCGATAGACACATTTTTTTAGACATTGAACACTCTTGGCTACTTGCTGTTATTCGGTCGCCGTTGACAATTGTAGGTACAGGTATTTAAGGTTTAAGCCTGCGTTCGGTCCAAGCAAATGAGAGCATTATACTTACTTAGTTGTTATCATTCAAGCAAGTTTATTGCCGGACCGGTCAAAACGCATTTATGAATATCTCGCTTAACATTTAAATTGGACTTGTGCAAGACTCTAGTTCATACTTCGCCCAGATACCACATCTGTGCAATCCCGTTCCTATGGATACAACTGGTTGGATATTGGGTCAGTGGGGAAATTCGAAATGAAAATAAGCAACATATTGAACATGTTGAAATGGCCAAATGCAAAATAAAGCGCAATTCAAATGTTGCCCATTTTGTGCTTATCGACGCAAATTTCTGTTGGAAGTCGTTGTCTCTGCCTCTATGTCTGGCTGACTTTGAAGAATACAGCACGAAAAGAATGTGTGTGGAAAGAATTTCTTTGGCAATAAAGACACTAACCAAAAAGCCTTTTAAACTCGTTTTCATTTCATTCTTTGGCGCATAAAACCGAAATATTGCCAATATTGGTTGCTTGGCGAGAGGAGGCTAAGCCGGCTGCACGACGTAAGCAACAAATGACCTCGTAAGTCTCAGAAAACAATGGCGGCAAAGGCAAAAAAATACTTTGGACCCTGCTCGATGCACACAAATCAATTGGAGCTTCCCCAGGCATCAACGTCAAGCGAAGGGAGCTCGACCAAGTGGTAGTTCAATGAATTTGCAAACCAATTTTTGAAATCCTGTGAATAGTTAATTGCCAAGTCTTGTGGAAGCATCACAAGGAGATGAAAATGGGCAATAACTAAGAGATCATAAGAGTAACAGGCTCAATAAATATATCCTATGTTATTGATTTAAAAGCCAGCGTCACAGTTTTCTGCTGTGTTTCTGAATATTAATCGGTGTAGCGCAAAATAGTGTGTTATAAATATATAAGTAAGCTAGCGAGTATTACCCGGCCTTGCCCGTGGAACGTTTTGTGCTAAACATTTAAGATATTACTTTTCCATTTAGTACACGCCCGTGGAAAATTGAAATCTAGCCGTACCATCTTGATCTCTATTTCTATTTACAAATATGTTTAAATAAGGGGTTTCCGCCTTTGTTAGTCTTGTGGTAAGAATCTTGAGGGAGAATAAACTTGCGTTTACAGACCCGCATTTTCGATCCAATAGCGAAGGTGTGTCAAATAAGTTCTGATAAAGATCTTCAAAAATTAGCTTGCAACTGATAATAAATCAAAGCGTTAAGTTTTTTTTGACAAATTTCCACAATTGCGGGTGGAATTTTCTAAATCGCTGAAACACGTACTCATTAAGTTTTTATGTAGAGCTTTTAAAATAAGTTTGATGCAAATCGGACAAAACCTAGTATTCGAATCCTAAATAAAGCAACTATTGATAATATCGAAATATTTTACTTGTCTTAATGAATGTAGAATTTGACTTTTACACAAGTTTCACTGACAGATATGCCCCTTTTCACAGCTAATTTTGTCAGTGACGCTTTTAGGGCTAAGAAGAAGGATGTTAGTAGAGAAAATAGTGTTCTTTAGTAAAAATTAAAAATAATCTTTATTTACTATATTAATTAAGAAAATACAATAAACAAGAAAAAAGAAAGAAAGAAGTTGTTAAATAAGGTAAAGGTAAATGAATGCTAGATGTATAAAGTGTTAAGTAGATAGGTCAAAGGGATAGTAGTTGGAAATCGTTGACCCGGTGGGGGATAATATACATAGAGATTTACTCTTGAAAGTCATTAAAGCATAATTTCAACAAGGATTCAATCCCTAATCTTCGTGCACGGTGTTCTTGTTACTCTGACTTGCTTCCATCCGGACGTAATTAATAAAATTTTAAATCAGAGTATCTTAATCCGAGCTGACATCCATAGCCACAAAGCTCACAAGTCACGTACTCTCCTTCCTAGGCATTCAATTGTCCCTAGGTATTGTTTTATTGAATGACAAAGGCGTGCATGCCGAACGAAAATAAATTGAGCGGGCGAAACATTTCTTGACGTTCTCTGCTCCATATATTTTACGACAAATCAGTTTTCATTATATTAATAAACTCCAATGCGACAGACACGTGCTAACTGGCATTCTATATAGTTTCTAGAGAATCTGATAGCATAAAACGCCGCGCACACGTAGCTAACAATTCAACAATAATAGCAACACAGGCTGCTTTGATTAACAGAGCGCTTTAAGGAGCACTGAAATTAACACGCTCCCCTAAAATGCTGTGCAATACAATCGAAAATTGGTATTTCTCCCACTTTGCCTTTTCAAACTCCAATTGCCTTCTAGAGTAATTGGACGTTAGGGAGCCTGTTTCCGCTATGAGTTTAAACATGTTCATCCCATTTGAAAATTCCTTGTACTAATTGGTTAACAATTGAACAATCTCTAATGTTTGCTCTTGGTTATCGGTTAGTCACTCATTCTCTCGCTCTTTTATATATGTAGATAATATAAAAAATATATCGTACATATGATACATACTTATATACCTTAAATGTTATTTAAGCTTATGTCAATAATATTTTTTATATTTCTGTTTACATTTACATCAATACTGTTTAGTCTATGCCAAATAATTTGAAAGCGCCCTACTATATATTTATTCATACATATATAATACCAGCTGCTGATACACTTGCGTTCGTGTTGCTCATACGCCGCGTTGTCCGTACGTTTCGCATGGTACGCAGTATTTGTGTTCGTTCCCTTATTTATTGGCTTCTAATGTCAGTGGCTATTATGCCATGGTCAATGCCCGTTGGCGTTGCCAGCTCTGCAGCTCAACTTGTCGTTTGTAATGTCAATTATCATTAATTCCGAAATGCACCTGTCTTCGCCAAGGTTGTCGACTCTTTTGCACACCCCCCGCTTTGAGTCACGTACGCCGCAGTGAAATATCTACGGCTATATAAATTGTTATTGCTTGTGCGTATAATTTGCCTGTCTGAATGTACAAACCATTCTCTTAATACATTTGTTGGAAGTTTGCAAGGCGTGGCTAGTTATACCTATTGAAGTAATTTATTTTCATTGAGTTTTAATGGGAGTTTTCTTTTTTTTCTCCGATATGGTAATGGCTTGGTACAATGTCAGTATTAAAATGAACAGCTAAAGGACATTCTCAGATTGATAACCCGCGCCGAAACATTTTAGAATTATCTAAACTAAAATCATGGTATATCTGCGAACCGTTAACCGACCAACCGACGACTTTTACTCGCCTTGCAGACCTGATGATGCGGCTTTACTTATTAAACTATTAACTATTAAACGGTACTTTGATAAGTACATCTTTTTCTATAATCGAATAAGTTCTTACGATGACAATCAATTATATAGTATGGCGGCATACATGATGTCAGGCTGGACCAAATGAAATTGTCTGGTTCGGAAAAAAAATTTACAAAAGGCAGCTGACAAAACTTTGTACAAAAATGATAAAGTGCACGAAAAGTTTTTGCGTATAAAAGAATGGTAGCCAGACAAGTCGAAAATAAGAGTAAAAACTAACAGAAATCGACAAACATCAATATTTAAATTGCGTAAGAGCAACTGTAAATTCTATTGTCCCAACTACAAACTTTTATTATACCCTGAACCCATTGAAATGGTTACAAAGGGTGAAATGCATTTGTTTAAATGTGTGAAACAGCCGATCTAGCCATGTTAGTTTGCTTGTCCGCCTGTCCGTCCGTCCGAACCTACAAGATCTTAGAACCTAAAAGACATAAAGACTAGCTGTAGGCCCTCCTGGTCCATGCGCAGTGTGAGTTGGTTTTCTTTAATCGATAACTTACTCCGTTTCCAAGAAGTCGATAAAAATCGATGTCGAAATCCTGTTTCTAATATATCAAGTATATTTAATTGTATACCTATCGCCACCTCCCCGATACCACCGAAAAGCTACAAATCATGTTAATAACCCAACTTGTAGTGCCCACCAATTAAAGCTACAACCTTAATGCAATTGTCATTTTGATAATACACGAATATTTTATAATGCAACAAGATCTACTGCTGAAAATTTCTTCAAGATCGGTTAAGAAACACAAATAAAATGTGTTTTTTCTGCTCACGTGCTTGCGGCAGCTAGCGCAAAGTGTATACATGTTCACTCACACACTATCAACAGCATTGAATTGCGATTGTATTGTTTAATGCTGCTATTTTAATTCGTTTTTTTTCTTCATTAAAAGTCAGAAGTTGGTGTGGCTGTTGAGTGCAGGCGGCGGCAAGTAGTGCGGTTAGTTGCGAGTTCGAGCCCTGCCAAGGCAACTTTTTTTTTTTTAATTTATATTTACTACGAATGCAAACGAGCGCGTAGTGCGAGCTGCATTTGGTATTGAAAGAAGAGGGTACAGGTTAACCCCTAGTTGGGAGCTCCCGGCTAGAACCTCTTACTTGTTTTTAGCAGTTTAATGTTTGTCCACTTTTATCTGCATTTGCATTTTGGCCAATTGTACAAGAATTTTTGTGGTTTGTTTTGAAGAAAACT